GAAGATCTTGCTGTGCTGTTGTTCTACACTGATGCTTGTTGTACTTGGGGCCAATGCTCTCTGTGTGCATTGTCCGCTAGGACAGACATACTACAACCATTCTTGCTACTTCAAGTTTCTGGATAATGAGTTCAAAGTTCCTTGGATTGATGCTTACAAGAAATGTGCAAGCCTTGGCGCTAACCTACTGGTTCTCAACTCCCGGCAAGAGACAGAATTTATCGCCAGCATGGTCAGACAATTTTTCCCCAAGTCTGATTCATACAAACGAATCTGGCTTGGCTGTAAGCAAATTGACGAGAAACACGTGTGCTCTGAAGATAACCAAGATGAGCTGGCAATGGTCAATGCAAGATGCGTATCACTCGATCCCTTCACTTCTGCATCTCTGGATAGTCCTTGTTTTGGTAACAACGGCTTGAGACGAGTCATATGCGAGAAACCACTCAAACTCCAAGTTCGTTGCCAAGCTGTGAGCAAGCAAGATGCTGACCTGATGACCACACCCTACTGCCTACTGGGCCACGCCTACATGGTCACCCAGATCAAGCACCCGATACAATGCTGCATGGCCTGCTACAAGGATCCCAACTGCCGCTCCTTCAACCTGTCAGGCAAGACGTGTCATCTCAACAATGTCACCATCTCCCAGGTTGATGCCAGCAAGTACGTCACTACCATCAACAACTGTGCCTACTACAGACTTGACTGAGCAACGACTTTAGAACATCTGACATTTTACTCCACTCATCAAAAACGAACTAGTAGAAACTAGTGTGATACAAAATCCATTGTTACGCTGCACATAAATATAAATGTTTGAATAGATAACACGTATGGAGGAAGGAATATGAATAGGGCCATTCTCCCATCATGTTTTGCCGACGGACAGTTAGGGATTCGATCCTTAGCCCCACCCACTTTTGCTCTGTGTATATTTCTCACAGTGCTTGTAACAAAATTTGACAGATCTACCGTGGTCACCTGACCAAACATAGTGATCTAATTGGTCATTGTTTCATTGACAGAAAAGGAAGGGCCCACTTACACTATAAATCTACAAAATACTTCAAGGAAAAACCCAAGAGCTAGTGTGGTAAGGAATTGTTGTTGATAAGAGTTCCACATACCTACAGAGATCTCATATTGGTGGACAATGGTTGGACTAGTCTAATGAACTATTAACACATAGCCTGCCAACATCAGATGTGTCACAGGTTGGCTAGCGCAGTAAGGACTGAGGAATAATTTTGTGGTGAAATCTGTACAAAGTTACAAGATTTTGCATGAGCTAAAAGGTACGTCAGAGACAAGTGGTTCACAAAATCTCTTGAAAGAACTTGCTCCTATTGTTTCAAGCAAATATTTCAATGATTATTAAGGAAATAAATATGTGCTTGGCCGATTTTAAACAAGTGTGTTTAAGACCGGCTCAGGGGAATGGACTCTGGCGAGGGACATTATCCGCAACCAGGCCCCTGAGCCGGTCTTAAATGTACTTGTCTAATACCGGTCAAGCAAATATTTATTTCCATTCATAAATACCTTTGAGACAAAATGTCAAAACAAGTAAAAAGATATAAGTTTTTGTTCAAAAAGTTTACTACATGTTTTTTTAAACACCCCTCTAGCCATGTTATGGTAAGTACCGCTCGCGAGTAGTTGTAAACATCTCCATATATGGAGATAGGCACGCGTGGCACGTACTGCGCGATGTGACGCAGAACATGGCGGTGCCGGTAGTAATGTGAATTGAGGACTCTCGAAGTACGGACTTATTGGTAGTATTGCGCATGCCTAAGTATACAAATATTGAGTGACTCAGCGTGGAATGGGAGGAATATTATCGCAAGGTAAAATCTGGACTATTCCATTTCATAAGGCGAAGCCGAGTGAACTGGAAAAGTCCAGATTTTACCGAGCGATAATATTCCTCCCATTTCACAATTTAAAGCCACTCAATATTGGTTTTATATAACTGGCATATAGATCCTTGTCATTTGATATAATTTGAACTTTTATTTCAATACAAAATTGGTGAAAAATGTATTTCTCTCTTCCAAACCACCCCTTCACAAAAATGTTTGAACCCAATGCTATAGTGCTGGCTCTTTGGAACAATACGCGATATGCACAACGCGCACACCATCATGCATTTGCACACAAATAACGCGTCATTGAACAAGAATGATCGTAACTGTTCAATAGTATTTCCCCATTCCCCATGGGCGGATAGTACTTTTTGAGCACCGGCGTGTATGGCAGTAATAACAAATGACACGTGATGTGAGTTCCACCGATCAAATGACAAGGATCTGTATGTCGGTTATATAATAGAGATTGTGAACATTCAACCAATAAAAGGGTAAGGACCAGATTTCATAGGAGTCCAAATTTCACGTGACACCGAAAAAGTGTTTAAAACCAGCCAGCCAATGTTTCATCAACCATTTAAAAACACCCACGTGAGGGGCTCTTGACCAATAGGAACGGCTCAACTGTCTCAGGTATTTATGAATTGTACATAAATCTCACTTATTTGTACATAAATGTTAAATTTGGATTTGTTTTCGAAGCCTGCAGCTGATGGTGCACCTTCAATTTATATTTCATTAGCCTTAACTCCCTAGTGTCTTTTACTAAGAACAGTACCAAGTCCGCCAAAATCCATCACTGGTCCTGCTTCACATAATGCTTCAGGACCAAATCCAGTGATATCCACCACAAATCCACTACTTCTATAGGTGAAGTTTGATGGACTTGGTTCGCATGGCTTGCCTACCAAAATCCCCAAAATGGGGGAATGGACTTTGATGGAGTTGGGGAGGTTAGGGTCAGGCCAAAAAAAATAATAGTTGTGTTTTCGGTTACACTACCTACCCTATTTTGAAAGCCCCTACCCTAAATTTTTTTTTGGATAAAATGAGGAAAACCCCCTCAAAATCATCAATTACTACCTTTTACCCTTGACTACACGCAGACACCTCCATATGATACCAGTAGTACACAACAAAACATGCCGCCCAAAAAAACAATTCCCTACCTAACTTCCTTATTTTCTTATACCAAGTAATCGGGAACAGAAATATTTTTTTCTGGCCTTAGTATAGTTACATTGTATAAAAGTCAACTTTAAATTATGCTTTACACACTGTACATGTAATAGGAATTAACCGCAACTGAGTACAATTTTGAGTATGAATAATCTTTACTTGAATGAGTAATCAACCCTTAGTCAATATGGTTGTGAAAACATATGGTGGGGATAACAGCAAGGTATTAGTTTGCGGAAACACAATGTTAAAGCTATAGTCCATCATTTGCAGCCATCCGAAAAGTAACTGGCGTAAATATTGTTGATAAACATACTTGGTTGAAAGATAGTAAGGGGACTAAACTCCCTGTGAAATTATTCTTTCTGGCAAGCTGTCATTTTGAAGTAATCAACGAAAGAAGGCCTTTCCTACGGTGCGTCTTAAGATGCACCGTAGGAAAATTTCAATTTGTAGTTCAATTTGTTATTCTGCGAAGCGCGCGCAAGCATTGGCACGACGCACACGCGGTTGCTATAATTCATCGGATCAGTGCGCGTATAGCTAGAGAACGCGTCTCGGATGCTGAATTCAGGCCCAATTCAAAACATGATTCAGCAACTTTTGATTTGAAATTGAGATCCTAAGAATGCTGTTTTTCTCGGAATATACAGTTGAAGCTGAGCTGAAACTTCATCAGGTTACTTGTTCAGTGTCCTTCATTAGATTTTGAACACTTTTGTTGCTCCAAACGAACAAAATGCACAAATGATGGACTATATCTTTAAATTAATTTTTGTGTGAGTTTGTGTTAGTTCTCAGAAGAACCGGTTCGGTGTCACTTGAGTCCTAACTCACAGAAAAATGTGCACATGCAAATTTTATATCGGAAAAAATTTCATATGCAGTTTTTCAAACTGCAGGAGGTATTAAAATAACAGAAAAGATACACCTCTTGCTGATATCAACTGTGATTAGCATATGGTACATGTATGTAATTTTATATCAAATAAAAAAAAAATGGATAATAATTTGATTTATAAAAAGGTGGTCTGAAACAAATTTTTGTGAGGAGTTTAAACACTGCATGTGATATTTTCAGTCTTTTAAGTATAGACACATCGATGTTTTTTTTACACTGAATTAACTGGAAAGAGTGATAGTAAGAAAGGAGTAGAACTTTACAAGTTTAATAAATATAATATGTATGTTCCATGTGTGTATTTCAATTTTTACTCACCGTTGACATTCTGCTGTTCCAGAATGTATTTAAATATTTATTTATCTTGAATAAAACCTAAATCCTCAATCGTGATTGGTCTATCCATGGCAACAAGAATGTGATATGCCGTACCGCATGGTCCATACAGCACCACTAGTATGGCTTGCTAAACGCTTTGCAAAGATGCGCGCACTGTTCCTGCTGAACGCACATGTAACAGGATAACTGCTGAAAGGTGACCACAGTGTACGCGTTGCATCTTTACTGTGTATCAAGTTTGCTTGAAGAATTATTCGTTTTCCTATACACAGCTGATTCACACTTCACGCGGATAGGAATGCAAAGTGAATTTGACTTCGTTTGTACAAAGACATTGACAAAACGGGGAGCCGCCAACATAGGGCTGGATAGCTCAGTTGGTAGAGCACTGGAATGGCAATCCGGAGGTCACAGGTTCAAACCCCACTCCGGTCAATTTCTTTGTTCAACTTTTAAATAATTATAGTGCACCTAGTTAGTTTCCCTCAGTGGTTTCCTTGAGAATTTGAGAGTTGAAATGTGTTCAACTTCTGCGAAATCACAGCCCGAATACTTGCCTTGACGTCATAATCGGAATTCACACATTGGACTATTGTAGTGTGTCTGTGTTCAATATGGGACACAGACCCACTACATTATTCTGTATTTCACTCACATTCATGGATAAACGGTACCTGTATGTGGATGGATACAAACATATTCCTTACCTCAGATCCGTGATGGCCTTGTTCCGTTCTCGTTTCTTGGCCCACACTTTCATAGTTCCGACAGCCAGTAGACAGAACTCGCCGTTCTTCAGCCCCACGGCTAGGGTTTCCCCGTCAGGACTGTAGATGATGGATCGCGCCGATGAGCCCATGCTGACTTTAGTTGTCATTACCTTGAATAGGCGAAACAGAAAAAAACAGGGTCATCAATTTTCTATTCCGTAAAATTGTGTCTTTTTTTGGTAGATCCTGAAACATTACTGTGCATACAGTTCCCAAAAAAGTGTCCATCTGACTATTTTTGAAATAAATGCAATACCATGAAGTCAATGCTGAAAATTGTTTGTTTTGCAGAATCTCCTTATGCTTGGCCTCAACCCCTATGAGTTTCATTTCATTTTAGACACGCATCACTACACAATTATAAATTGAGCATAACAACATTTTTGGACACCGCGACCAAGTTCCATGCCTTATTCAATTTCAGTGCTGTGTTATGTAAGCTGTGTAAAATCCTGCATGTTGTGAAGAGGGCTGCAGTTGGGATTGGAATCATTTGCCTGGCTATCAGTCATCATGGCAAGACCTCAGTTTAATGCTCAAGGGCAAATGATTCCAATCCCAAACCACGTCAGCCTTTTTTCAGAGCATGCAGGATTTTACACAGCTTACATAACACAGTACTGAAATTGATCAAGGCATGGAACTTAGTCACAGGGCCTAACAATGTTGTTGTGCTCAATTGACAATTGTGTAGTGATCTGTCACTGAAATTAAATGAAACTTGTAGTGGTCGAGGCCAATGCTTAGGAGTATCTGCATAACCAAACATTTTCAAAATTGACCATGGTTTTGTAGCTATTTCAAATATAGTCAGACACACACTTTTTTGGGGACATACTGTAGAGAAACTATATATTAGCCGTTGTACACAGTTCAGGTTTGAGTTGTGGCCCATTCATGGTTCTCAGGCTCATAATCTGACTTTGGAAAACAATTCATTGCTTTACCAAATGTTTATTATTTTTATTTGGATATTGGTTTTGTGAAGGGCTAAGCCCACTTTTAGAATTTCACAAAAATGTCATCAAGTCATTTTGAAAATAGCTGACATTTTGTTCAGGTATTGTATACCTCCTTAACTTGTATATCACAAAAAGATAGGTCTTGGTACTTGCTGCTATATCAGATTCGAACCAGCCTGCCGACCCCAGCAAGCTTGGTGGTCGCGCGATCAGACGTCTGCACTAGTAAGCAGGAGGTCGTGGGTTCGAGTCCCATCTGAGTAAGCTTGTGAATTTGTCTAGCAAGCCCTAGGACAACATTGACTATACAGTGTTTATATAATACGTCAGCAAAGGGCAACAAAAATTCAAAATACCAATATAAAACTTGCGTCTTCTACATTTTGGGTATTTTGTCATTATTCTACCTCGTTACTACACTCACCATCTTCTGCGCATCCCATATCCTGATAGTACCATCATCACTAGCTGATGCAAACAGTTCCTTAGAAGGATGAGTGGCCAAGCCCCAGATCTCTCCTTCCCCATGCCCCTGTACTAACATCGTCACTTGACCGTTCTTCTCACCGATCTCGATGACTTCGCTGTCCTTGGTGCCCACTAAAATCTTGCCCTAAGCAGACACGAAATTGGCTTTTAAGTCAAGGATTTCTCAAAATACCAGAAAATGAAAGGAATTTCTCCTACAAATTATTTGAGAATAGACAAGGGACTCATTCAATCGTGTTGAATGGCCTACTAATGAGAAATGAAGGACACATTGCACACATGCACTGGTTTACTAACGGGAGTGGCTTGGAATAAACAACAAGATTTTCAACTCAACACGGTTATCTAAACAAGTATATCGAAAGGTAGCTCTTCATTAAAATGACTGGAAATATTAAGAGTTATCCCTACGCCAAAAAGAATGGTGTGCCCTACTGGAAACCTATTCGCGCATTGAAGGAGAACATTGAGATGCTTAAAATGAGCTCAGTGAATAAACATACATCCAGCATCTAGTAATGGTCAAGGAGATTACAGACTAGGGGTTTTTGAAGATTTCTCTGAATCATTAATTGGCTGTTAACCGGCCGAAACAGCCTTTGTTTTGACATCATCGTGACGTTATCATGAGTCACGTGACGTCACATTATATGCGATTTTTCTGTTGTGACCATTTTCTAGCAGAATTTGGCTAGATCTGACAGATTGGGATATATCTCCAGAACTACAGGTCCGATTGGGTTGAAAGTTAGTATGTACCTAGACTGGTATGTGATGAAAATTAACTTGACATCATGATGACGTCATCACGTGACATATGACTTCATATAAAATAAACATATTTTGAAGGCCAATATCTACAGAACTACAGGTCTGATTGGGTTCAAACTTGGTGTGTACCTAGACCGGGATGTGTTATAGATGAAATTGATGTGATGTCATGATGACGTCATCACATGACATGTGACGTCATAATTCAAAGTCCTATGAGAATGTAATCACATATTACATGCCAACATTTATTATAAACAGAACTACACATCCTTCCTGGATGGAAGTTATACTTGAAACTTTACATGTCACATGTCACAAAAAAGTCGCCGAAACAGCCCTGTGTTTGTCCACAAACATAAGTCTAGTTAGATACCATGCTTAATTGGCTCTGTCACGGACATTACACTTCATTTCACTATGCTGGAATTTCCCTCATGTTGTGCACTTTTGTCACCAAGGGCCTGATTCTGCTTGAAGTCACTAACGGTTCAACCCACCTTACATCTGCAGACAGATTTGATAACATCCATGGTGTTCCCCGTGCCCAATTGAAAGGCGCGGCATCGCTTCATTTCTTGATCCCAAAGCTTCACTGGCCCGCTGTCTTTACTCTTAGACCTGTTAATTGATAAAAGTTACACAAGTATTGGCCCAATTCTTGTTTTCTATTTCTTCCACGGTTTTTAAAGGTACATAGATCATTTGCCATTTTGTGCATTTTTTGTTTTGTTTGAAGCAACACAATTGCTCAAAATCTCAAGAGAGGTGTATAAACTTGTTGAAGTTTCAGCTGAGTGGATACTGTACATTTTGAGAAAACACAGAAAATGTATGCACAATTTTTGGGGTCTTGTAACTGAATGATGTTGCTAACACATGTAAACATTTTCACATTTGGACACATTTTCTTTATCCATCATCAGTGATTTTTTTTTTCCGAGTGACACCACTTCAGGTGGCATAACTTCACAGGGTAATTAGTACCATTCCTATCTTCGCTTCGAGCAAGGATTTTCTCTTAAAAATTGTAGGTAACGTTTCTGGGTAACTGCAAATGTTTTTTATGTGCCTTTAGGATACAACAAGACAAACACATACATGTAACTAAAATAAAGCATTCTTCAAAAGTGACGGAGGCTACATTTCTTTAGCCTTTATATTGACTGGATAAAAATAACTGTAGAATTTGACATTTGAACTCTGTCTTGGTCACTATTGAGGAGGTTCTAAGAGGTTGAAACCACTTACTCTTTCTCCTTGCCCCCTGATACAATCAAACCATCTTTCAAAGTCGTGTATAATGTGAAGACAGCGTCATTGTGAGCCCTTGAGACAACTCTGGCGAGGATGTTCTGCTTCCAGACGTACACGTCACCGCTCATTGCGCCGGTGAACGTTGTGTCATTCTGAGGGATGAAAGGACAGTTGTATTTTATCATAGATAATGGATTTTATGTGTGAATGACTCACAAATTCGGGCGATTCACAATGCAGTGTGCCATGAGTTTGCCACGGAGAGTCCATTTTTCAAGTTTCTGGTCGACAAAACATGGTCCATTTGAATGAGTGTTGGTAGACAACTTGAGCTAATATGTCATAGATTGGGGCATAGCGTTCTGCGGCCTTACAAAAAACACCATATTGATAACAAGAAAAGAAATGGGCAAACAGATACTCGAATCATACGCTTACGAAACTACTGACCGGAAAAACTAACAATTTCAAATGTCCCGCGCTGCGAGCTTGTCGACCATCTCCCACTATGCACTGGGGAAAATGAACTCTCCCTGGCAAACTCTTGGTGGCGCACTGCATTGTGAATCGCCCGAAATGCTTAACCCTTGTAGTCCTGAATGCTCCAATTTTCACATTTTACACATTTTCAGAGAGTTGAAGTGAAGGCCCAAGTGTTTTTGCAATGTTACTTGGATGGTTTCCTTCGTATCACTAGACAATGTCAACTATCCCAGAAGGAGAAAATATTTGATTTCTGGAATGTCTTCCAATTAGTGTCAAGTCTATGACATGACGCTAATAGTTTTGTGACTGAAGCATATTTTTTTTGTAGAATGAATGAAAACTGGTGTAAGCACCAACAAATTTGCCATATTTGTTAGCAAATGGCCAGGGGGGGGGGGGGAGGGGTTAAACAACCTGACTTTGGGTGTATGAACAGGAGAAAGATCACCTTTCTTGTAATAAATTTTCAGATTAGAACTTTAACATAAATCTGAATAATAAAAATTGTAAAATAATCCTTTAAGAAAATATATGTATGTCATTAAATAATTCTCTTCAGTTTGTACTCCATAAACTGGTGTTAGTTGCCATTGTTTTGCACAAAAATCAAGCTTATTGTATTTGAGCTTAGGTCAATACTCACTGATCCAAAAGCAATGGACAGCATTGTTTGCATCTTGACATCCTGGGTGTTCTGTCCGGCCGTGTTCATCAGGCCACGCTTGGCGATCAGCTCACCACCCGCCACCGTCCAGAACTTGACATGTTTCACACCGACGGTCACAAAGTCCGAGTCAGAGTCCGGTCTGAACTCGCCAATGAAGATACGTTTGGAGTGGCCAATGCTGCCTGCTACCTTGGTACCTGTGGTCATAGAACATGTGCACATTACCACACTTCAGCATTGCAGTGCCTCACAAGTCCAAGTAAATCGCAAGACAATTCTCAAGTCTGATCAGAAGCAGCAGGAATGAATAATAACAAAGGAATGCCTTTGTTATGGTCCATTTGAATAGTTTGAGTTGTGACTGGAGGACTTGTGATGAACTATGCTATTCATCCATTATTTTGCTCAGTGACAACGTCAGATGACAACATTTTACTTACATCATTCTCTGTAAAGAGCTCAGGAATTACCAATCTTATTTATTTTTTTCGGCAGATGTCTTGCACACGCTTAAAGGTTTTTGGTTCTTGTGTCTTGATATTCGGTTTTTAAGATGTTAAGATCGTTTTCGGTTTGGATTCGGTTTGTATCTCTAATGTTTCGGGTCGGTTTGGCCTGGTCAAGCCGCCCGATGCACATCATTAGATCAGGGGCAATTTGATGAAACAATTATGCACTAAAATTAACTATGCATTAAAACTATTTGGTTATTAAAAAAAAGGTTACCAGCCAATCATCAAGCCATGAACATTGCTGGTAATTGGTACTCTAACATTTTTGCTAAGCAAAAAACTTGATTAGTAGTAATTCATGCTAAGTAGTTACATGAAATTGGCTCTTAGTCAGAAAGTAAGCAAAATAGCCTCATAAACAAACCTTGTTGCCATCTCCATACAGCTACAGAGTGATTATCATCAATGCCCACCGTTAGCAGCAACTTCCCTGTAGCACTGAAGTTGACCGAGCACACTCCCTTGGTGTGGAATCCCTTGATGATGGACAGCGTCTGCTTAGTAGTAGCATCCCAGACATTGACAGCTGGCGTAGCTCCGATCTGACCGCTGGCGACGACGTTCTTGTGCTTGGGGTGTTGGTTGACTGTTAGGCAGATAATGTCATCGGTGTGTTCTAGATAGAAGCTCTGGGTGCCTGCCAGAGAAGGTAGGAGAGATGACATTGTGAGGTTGAGAAAAGTCAGTTGTGCAGTATTTAAAGGCATATCGGGTCATTCAAAATCTAAAGAAGATTGTTCAAAACCTAACTTGTTGAAAGTTCAGCTCAGTGGATATTACACTTTTGGAGAAAACAGTGAAAAATCTTGCACAACCTTTTGATCACGAAACATGATTTTGTCAATAGAACTCTTTATTCCAAAAATCTGTCCATTGGCTGATCGTTGGAAATCCCCTACACTTCTTGATTTCTTCTAAATGACAGCAAGCCAGACGGAATATTTCACGGGATGTTTAGAGCAGTGCGATCTTTAATTCCAAGTAAGCCTGTTTGATAATAATTTGGTAGGTTACTTTTGGGATAAATGCAAATAATCCTATACACCTTTTAGTTCTTTTCCCAAAACTGAAGTATAGTGGTATATAAGGAGGTACAGAAGGAATAAAGCACCAAGGCTGTATTAACTGAGTACAAGTTTTCTCTTGTCGCTAACAAACCGTTTATAACCCTTCTCTTGTCGCTGGCAAACCATTTATAACTTATACCTTGACATTGGTAAAACTGTTTACAACTTTACCGTTGACATTGGTTAACCTTTTACAACTTTTGCCTTGTCAGTAAACCATATACAACTTTTCTCTTGACACTGGTAAACCTTTTACAATTTTTCCTGTGGCTTTTATAAACTTTTTCTCTTGTTATTGGTAAACCATTTATAACTTTTCTCTTGTCATTAGAAAATTGTTTAAAACCTTTTTCTTGTCGTTTGTAAACCATTGATACCTTTTCTCTTGTCATTGGTAAACCATTTACAACTTTTCCCTTGACATTGGTAAACCGTTTATAACTTCTCTCTTGTCATTGGTAAACCGTTTTTAACTTTTCTCGTCATTGGTAAACTGTTTATAACTTTTCTCGTCATTAATAAAACGTCTGTGAATGTCAAACCCACCCACCTGATGCTATATTCTGTACAATGCAGGCTCCTGCAGCGTGATAGATAATATCTGCTCCGTCATTGAGGTAAAGGAGATTATTACGACAATCAAAGCCTCGGTAGCCATGGATATGTCGCAGTGACAGATCCTGCAGTGACAGAGCGAAAGAAAAGAGGAGAGTGTTTAGAATTGAGGCTAAAATTCATTTTGGTAGATTTTTTTTGCAGGACTAGTCATCAACCAGTCAATGACTACTCATCCTTAGCCTTTTGACAAGGCCATTGTGACTACTGAATGCAGCACCCAATGGTGCAGCCATCAAGTGAGTTGAGCGGAGGCCAAGTGATCAAGTCATCAGGGCCTTTTCAAATAAGATATATTCCTGAGTCACTAGTGAATTATTGATTAGGGAATAATCGGTCAATTTTAAGCAAGTACGTTTAAAACCGGCTAGGGACCTGGGGCCAATTTCATAGAGCTGCTTAAGCACAAAATTTGCTTAAGCACAAAAATGTCTTGCTTAATAAAATCAGGTTACCGGCCAAAACTCCATGCGATTGTTATGCTAAGTAAACAACAGCTAAATACCAGTCACAAGCAATGTACATCACATAGAGTTTTGGCCGGTAACCTAATTTTACTAAGCAATGTTTTTTCGTGCTTAAGCAAATTTTCTGCTTAAGCAGCTCTATGAAATTGGGCCCTGGATGTGGATATTGGCCTGAGCTGGAACTCATCAATACCTTTTCAGTAAAAAAAAAATATCAAAATAAGTTTTAAAAAACCCGGTTTTCTTCATATTTTGTGAAAACACCCCTCTGGCCATGTCTATGGTATACAGGGTGGTTAAAAAAAAAGGACACCCACTTTTGACAGCAATTTTCACCTATTTTTAAAAATTATTTTTTCACTGTCGAGTAGCTATTCAAGTACTGGCCTTTAAGCAAATGTGACGAAAAAAATCGTTGCACTTGCTCATTTTGTCGTTGAGCTATGCTAATTTGAATATTTCATGTGCGAAAACTAGTTTGTCCACGAAGATATACATTGCCTTCGCTTGACTGAGCTCAGCTATTGGAGCTTTATTTGAAAGGGCATGACATTTGATTGTTGTTATGTAATGTTATGCAACAATGAACTAAGCCGACAGCTCATTGAAGAGATGATCTTAACACTGACATAAATAATTGGCCAGCTTCAATGAAAGTTACCAGGGCAAAATATATTTTGGAAGTTTTTAAATTTTTTTTATGAACTACGAAAAGTCCAATTTACATAGAATAACCCGTGGACAAGACAGATTTTGGTGACTTGTATTCAAATTAGCATAATATCACTATTTTTGCGACTTTTACTAAGCTTTTTTCACCATGCATGATTAAAGGCCTATACTTTACTACTATGTGAAAAAACATTTAAAACAAGTTTATTAAGTAGGTGGAAATTGCTGTCGAAAGTGGGTGGCCTTTTTTTTAACCACCCTGTATGTGCCTTGTGCGCGTAGTGCTAAACATTCCCTCATAGCAGCGCGTACTGCCCGATGTGGCGCAGAACGCAGCAGTGTTTTACCAGCGGTTTAACACCACCAACGTGAGGGGCTCTCGACCAACAGGAATGGGTAAACTTTCTCAGGTATTTATGAATAAAGTTTAATGTCAAGAATTATTCTGTGCAACCAAGACTCGTGATCTGACCTGTGATTGCACAATGATTGACTTGACTACTTTCATCTTTTGTGGGAAGGGCTCTCATATCACCAGCACAGGTTAATTCTTAAGTGTTCATCTCAGCAAACTAACCTCAACTTGTGACGGTCGTTTCTTCTTGCCAGTGTCTGCGTCTGCTTTCTTGACCTTGGGTGGTTTGGGACCTCCTCTGCTTACACTCGGCCTATCATCATGTGAGTGAACAGTACACAGATTGGATATTGTTCCAGCTCATTTATATGAAGGAGCCATGTCATTGGTCAACAATCCATCATTTAACAGACATGAATATTAATACTCCAACCAACAAGCTCAAAAAGTACAAGTAGTTGTATTTTTTTGAAAAAATTGCAAAATAAAACTAGAGATTTGGCATTTGTTTTATGCGACAAATGCAGGGTGATTGAGTGTGACACTGCTTTGTTGTGCGTTGTTTTAGTTCAGTTGTGAGTAAGTCTTCGTAAAAACAGCACAAATAATGATATTCAGACTATTTGTTTTCAGTTTGTGCATTTTGACCCAAGGCATTAAAAGGCAATTTTTTTTCAAAAACAATCACCCCACATCATTTTAACGCCACATATGTCTTTTAAGCACTGCCAAGAAAAGTGTAGTTTTTAAAGAAAACGTCACATTTCGGACAAACTTCTGCAATGAAGAGTGACTCACGTGTCATCTTCCTGCATAGTTTGCTGGTCAGGCTTGACTCCCGTCTTCTCTCTGAGAGGGTTGGTGTAGGTCTTGGAGGCATAGTCTATAGTGGTCTCCCGTTGCACATCACTGTCATATCCTGACAGAAAAACAAAGGAATAAATATCAGGGATTAAAGGGATATCCCACAGGGTTGGAATCAATCATCACAAGTTATCACAAGTCAAACCAAAAGTATATCACAAGTCAATTACAAGTTCATCACAAGTCAATCACCAGTCAGTCACAACTCAATCACAAGTCCATCACAAGTCAATCACAAGTCAAACACCAGTCATTCACAAGTCCATCAAGTCCATCACAAGTCCATCACAAGTCCATCACAAATCAATCACAAGTCCATCACAAGTCCATCACAAATCAATCACAAGTCTATCACAAGTCCATCACTTGTCAATCACAAGTCAATCACAAGTCAAACACAAGTCAATCACAAGTCAATCACAAGTCAATCACAAGTCAGTAACAAGTCAGTTCCAAGTCAATACAAGTCAATCATAAGTCCATCACAAGTGAATCACAAGTCAATTACATGTACGTCAATCAAGTCACATACATGTGGTATTCAAGAGAAAAAAGACATTCCTGTGTCATGGTTCATCCACTGTTACAATAATGACCTGTCTTGTGAGTTGTGACTGATAACAGCATTCTAAAACCCAGAAAATGTGTTTTTCTTGTCAGAATGCTCAGAGCAAGTAGTGTTCCTAGGTTGTTCTAATCTTGTATGAGCTGTTTCTGAGTTTGCATGTGGGTAAACCTCTTCTTGTTAGAAGTGTCTGTAATGTAATGGCTGCAATTTAATACTGCTGTAGTAATTGTTATAACTTACCCTCGGTTCAGACAGGCCTGCTAGAGTCGCGCCGATCCAAATTAAAGGCAAAATTTAAATTAAGTACATGAAAGGTTTGACGTCTGAAACAAATCGGAGCGACTAGACGCGCCAGATGGCGAAAGATGGATGGTCGGAATCGTTCAGAACGACTCAGGAGCGACTTGGTTTCAGACATCGCTCCAGTCATGAGCCGAACTCAATGCAAATGTATGTAAATGTATGTAAATAAATAGTGACCTTCAAAAATAAGGACTGCAGGCGATGTGTTTAACGCGCAACACAATGCTTATAATTTAAAAGTTTTCTTTTTGCAGATTTAATCCTATCAAATACGAGATTTTGATGTCATGTTACAGAGCAAAAGCTTACAATAAATGTACGTCCCACTATCGCCCCAATACAACACAAGATATCTGTACACTTTTTTAAAGCGGAAAACCGAGACTTCCAGTTTCCATGTTGTACAGGCACGGTGCAGTCTTGAAATACAAATTGTTCGTACGTGCGGTGACGTGCAAGAGATAAGCGAGCGCACATGGCATACGCAGCCTGTCTTCTTCGATACGCGCGTACTTAGCGCAGTACGCTCTCAATCAGCGTTGCGTCGATTACGTATTCTACACGGCCAGGCGTTTGCAAAGAGAAGGAACGTGGACGCAGCCCATGCATCGACGCTGCACAATGCCGGCTTGTTGCTAAGATCCCGTGTTTGTTGGTTTGTACACAATACTCCAATGTATTAAGTTCGCCTGTCTGAAACCAAAATTCTAATAAGGTCGACATGGAGTCGCTCGTAATCTATTTGGTTCGGCGCGACTCTGGAACTCCTGTCTGAACCGGGGGTTATCCCCCCCCCTCACTTATCCCCCCAATCACTTGGGATCAAGTTTAATGTTGATTTTAGTTACTGGCTGCAATTTCACTGTTGACTATGATGACCTTCACAATACATTTTCCTTTGCATTACGAAAAAGAAAACCTAACAATTTACAAGAAAAAAAAATCCTCCAAATTGCCTGCAATGAATTTGCAGGTCCCCCTGCATAATTATGTTTACCATATTTATCCACCATAACAGAAACCAAAGAAATCCCTATAAAGTGCTCAGTCAAATATTGTACTGAAAAATGCATTCCAAGTCAGTGAAGGAATTCAACATAATTTGACTTCGCATACCATCTTCTTCCGAATCAGTGTCAGAGTCATCACTTTCTCCATGAACATTATCCCGAGTCCCCGGCATGTCATGTGACCACACCATCAATGCCGTATCGGCTCCACCCACTGACACTAACGCTTTGTCGTCGTAAGTCCATCGGACGTTGGTCACATGGGCACTGTGACCGACATACTTCTTGAACTTGGCGTTCTTGCCCTGTATCATCAGCAAAAAATAGAGGAAAATGACGAAGCGTTGTTTTTCAGTAGATAAAACTTGTTGATTATTTCTCTTTCTCTTTTGATTTACCAAGTGTTTTTGTTTACTTACCGAAGCTGGCCAGTGGAACAACTTGACGTAGCCAAAGTCATCACCCGTGGCTAGGATAGTCTTATCATGCGACAGTGAGCTGGCGTTAACATCCGTCACGTCACTCTTTGATGGCCAGATTCCCGTACAGGTGTGGCCTAGGACGCAAGTCCATGTTGCCCATCCCTGGGACTCAATCTGGGCGTTACGGAGGGCCTGGCGCTTACCCCGGGGCGCCTCGAAGAACAACTGCTCCTTGGCTCCAGAGTTCATCATCAGAAGTTTGCCTGAGGTTGGGTACCAGACATTTGAAAACTAATCAAAAGATGGCAAGTTTGTTCACATATTTTGCCCTGACCAATTTTCAACACACTTTTTGTAATTTGGTCATCTGCAACCCTCTTCTAGTTTGCTTTTGCACACAAATTGGTTTGCCCTGCATGAGTAGACTGGTTCCCAGGCACTGCATTATCAATCCTAAAGAGGAGGGAACCAGTCTACCCAGTGCAAACTGAAGCATTGTCAGGTATTGTGGAAAATGGTGCAGTACTTATTCCATAACTAAACATTGGCAGTTTTTTAGGTGATGTCTCATTGAAACGAGAATAACTTGTATTGCTAGAAAAATTGTTTTAAAACTCACAAAAATCTATTTTTTTCTGGGTGAAACTTGAAAATAGCACAGCCTGTACATCTTAAGAGCTTGGAACAATCAAAATATTAGGCTCTGAATCTTTAGTTTGATTTGTTACTTTTAGCCTTGAAATAGCTCATTTACCACAACTTCAAAACACAAAAGCCGTCGGATTCTGTCCACAACTTCAGGAAAGTTAAGGTTTCAATTAATACGTCATGGAGCGTACCGTTCACATCCCAGTCCGTGTGCGTGACGTAACTGGAGGATCCTTTACAAGTTCCAACTCGCTTAGTATTCAAGACACTGTAGATATCAATGTAGTTATCATGTGAGGCCACTGCAAGATACTTCCCCGAATCTTGAAGGAAAAAATAGGAGTGGTGCATTGGTAAAAATCACAAAGTTTGCACATTTTTAGGTACAAAAAAGAATCACGGAAAAGTCTGCAAATGAAAGAATGCGTTGGAAAGAAAAGCTACAAATCATCAATCGCAAGGGTATAGAATTATATAAGATTTGCACATCTTAACATCTAAGACTACTAGTTTCAGGGCCAAAAAAGAGCTTTCTATCATCATTTAACTTTGTGTCTTTTTTGGCTGTACATTAACCGTGTGAAGACATAGTAAGCACTTACTTGGGGAAAATTTAACATCCGATATTTCTTCTTTCCTGTGATGGAAGCCTGCAATGTCGTCTAAAGTGTCACCATTCACAACAGAGAAACTACCTGAAAAGCAAAATAAAACAAATACTTTTCAAGAAAAATCTGTCACCACATTCAAATACTCTGATCTTTTATAGCCAAACGGATACTAAATGTTAGGCATTTTTGTTGAACGTCGAAACCATCCCAAGTCCTCAAAAATCCACCACTGAACAGGAAAAAGAGGCACATTCTTAAAAATTGAAAGAGAAAGTTCTTTGGCATAGGGTCACCTTTAAAGCAGGCATGCAACTGGGAAATCACAAAAAAAGAGGAAATTCACATTTTTCCCAGACTTTGTACAGTGTTTTTCTATTTTTAATGGCACACATGGGAAGTAAAAAAAGAGGAAATCAGCTGATCCGAGGAAAAGTTGCATGCCTGTTAAAGGCATAGTCCATCATTTGTAATGTGTGCATTTTGTTCGTTTGAAGCAACAAAAGTGATCAAAATCTAAAGAAGGGTGCTGAACAACTAACCTGATGAAGTTTCAGCTTAGCTTCAGCTGTATATTTTGAGAAAAACAACATTCTAGGATCTCGATTTCAAATCAAAAGTTGCTGAATCATGTTTTGAATTGGGCCTGAATTCATCGTCCGAGACATGTTCTCACTGAGCCGATTGCAGCTACGCGATGTTGCGCACTGATCCAACATTGTAGCAATCGCGCGCGCGTGTGCGTCGTGTCAACACTTCGCCGAATAAAAAAATGAACTACTAACGGAAATTTCCAACGGTGCTTCTTAAGAAGCACCGTTGGAAAGGCCTTCTTTCGTTGATTTCTTCAAAATGACAGCTTGCCAGAAAGAATAATTTCACAGGGAGTTTAGTCTCCTTACTATCTTTCAACCAATTATGTTTTTCAACAATAATTACGCCAGTTACTTTTTGGATAGCTGCAAATGATGGACTCTGGCTTTAATGAATCACAGTAAACGCATTCCGGAGAGTCCAATGGATGTTTTAAAAACTTCGGCTATGTTTCTGGATTTGAACACGTCCTACAACTGTGTCTCTCACCATCTTTGAATCCAACAGCTAGAGCTTTTCCATCTGGAGAGAAATCACAGCATCTAGCTCCACCCTTCAATCTCCGAACATTCAGCATCTTATGGTCGGGTCCCAGGTCCCATAGCCTGACGGTCTCGTCATCGCTGACTGTGGCACAGATGCTCTTAGAGGGGTGGGTTGCCAGACCCCAGATCTCGGTTTCCATGTGTCCCTGTGTGAAACGAGTACCAATGCATATTGTTGAAAATGATATCTCTGAAATTAGATATGACATTCAAAATATGTTTTAGGCATGCATACAAACACATTGCCACCAATCACCTGACACTCATAGAAAGACTGTACAGACCTGTGGTTAACCCAAACTCCCTAGGCCTTTTTGCTAATCCTGCAAAATCCTCCAATTGGCCTTATGGCAAAAATAGCATAGCCTCAATCCTGCAAATTCCTCCATTATTTCTTGAATATGGTCTGTGGAGAGGTGACCACTGCATGAATCCTGCAAAATCCTCCGGCTATGACTGTCAATAGGCTGAGGCAGTGACATCCTTGAGCAGTGCGGAGGATTTCAAGTATAATCAAGGCCTATATTTATGCATGGCTGAGCATAAACAACACAAGGTCCGGCCCAAGACCTTGACACAGTGCGTACTCCGAAATCCGCAACGCACTTTTGCCATGTAACCTCAATCCTGCAAATTCCTCCAATTTGCAAAAAGGATTTTTGAGGATTTGGGATGGTTAGGCCAAAAAAAAAAAGTATTCGGTCTCTGGTCAGCGCGCGCGTCGATTTTAATCATGCGCGTCAACCTTTTTTTTTTTCCAAAATGTTCCGCGGTAGCTCCAACAGCGCCCTCTATTGCCGCACCTCCTCATTTTTTTTTTACCAAAGAGCACCAAGGAATGGGAAATTGCACCAAGGCAAATGATTGAGAGCACCAAGGCAAATTATGTAGGACACCAATGTACATGAGGACACCCAAAAAGCAAAATAGTACCCCCCACCTTGTCTGTACAATCCAAGCTTGAAGAAAAAAAAAAGGAAAAAAAAAAAAAAAGCCGCGTCCCTGCGTCAATTCCGGAACTTTGGTCTGACCAGAGACCGAATATTTTTTTTTTTTGGCCTTAGGGTTATTAGAAGTAAAAATCAGTCTCGTGTGCTCACATGTGAACCCATATACAGTGTGTCCTAAACACAGATCACTCTGATCACCAAGTGCCACATAGCTTTGCATCCTGTAACTTTCTAGCAAGTTCGATCAGGAACTACAGGTAACCATAGTTCGCCTAACTCTGATCAAACGCTGGTTATGCTAGGTTCACACATTCCCGATTTTTAATTCTTGAGTAAATCGGGAATGGTTCTTGGCTGCCTCGGGATGATTCTGTTAGTTTGGTGAAAGATCAATCAAGATCGGGAAGCACCCTGACAATTTTAGACATGTTCAAAATTGTCAGGGCGATTCGGGAACCAATTTCAATTCTTGGATTATTCTTGTTGTATTCGTAACTAATTCTGGACGTTCTTACAGCATTCTGGATATTCTTACAGCATTCTTAAAAGTTTCGTAGAGTTATTTTGTTGGTGTTAACAGTCCAGAATCATGCCGAATCATTACGAATGTATCAAGAAATGAATGAATATTATAAGAATACCTTACAAATACACTATATCGGCATAATTCTGGGTCATTTTGGATGATTCTGGTGTTATTCGTATTCTATTCTAAACAAAATCACTACAATTCGTGTTTATTCTGCACTAAAATCACAATCATTCGGCTTGATTCAGTCTGATTCGGCTTCCAATTCATACTTAGTCCTTGATTGTTTCTGTTGCATTCTTAAGTTATTCTTACAAACAACGATTCGGGGCTAATTTCTCCCGATGCCAACAAGAATTGTTATTTGGGATAGATCGGGTATTCGTGGCAATAATTCGGGAATGTGTGAACCTAGCATTAGTCAATAATGGTTGGACTAGTCTAGACTAATGTTGTGCATCAGGTCGTGTTGACCAGGCCAAACCAACCTGAAACATTATAAATATAAACCGAATCCGATCTGAACTCCCAAAATCCGACCTGACCCGACCCGACCTGACAAAAATTCAAGACCCAAACCAAACCAACCCGAAAAAAACCCTGAAATCTGGCTTGGGCAAGCGTGTCCTCTTTTTGTGCCTGAACTTACCCTGGTCACGTCGAAAATATACCATATGGTACGATGGAGACTCATAACTAATACCTACTGGTGGGCCTACATGTTATAGACTATGAGTGATAGACCACAAACCACATGCACAGTCACGCTGTGGGTTGACGTTGGTTGTAGCTGTCATAGTAAGTCTGCAATAATATTGCACTGCATGAATTTCCTAACTGTTTTGGTTTATTTCGGTTTATTTCAGGTTTTTCACAAGATGGCTGAACCGACGCAACCTAAAAATCGTCAATGCAAAACGGAAACCGAAACCAACTGAAATGATGGAAAAACCGACAAGACCCGACCTGAAGTCAGTTTCGGATTGGGTCGGGTTAGTTTCGGTGTGGGTTTTCACAACATTATTCTAGATGATTATTTGTGACCAGCCTAATGAGGTTGTTCCATTGCTTTTCACAAATAGCCGCGTGCATTACAATGCACAGCAGGAAGCCAGGACCAAGGAGTTTGTGATGATGTTTTGTTCGCGCATCACTATTAATGTACCAGCGTAATTAGGTCACAAATCTGCTAGAAGAAGTTGACCAATGGTTTTGAGCGATCTTGCTCTTGGATGACAGGCATATACATCTTGACAATGACATGTTTGCTTGCTTACCTGGACCAGTATCCTGACTGGACCACTCTTCTCAATCTCCATCACCTCGCCGTTTTTCGTCCCCGCTAGGATGTGACCGTGACCCAGAATGACTGATCGGATGGACGGGTTGTCGTCAAGGAGGACTCCCCGTGTCCCCTGGGCCAGGCTAGTCCTCCTGATGGGGTAGGATTTCAGACAACGTTCGATGGACTCATCCCAGAGGGATACTACACCATCCTTGCCTCCGGTGACAAAACCCTGGATAGAGAGAAGTGAAGTCAGACTGGAGGTCTGGGGCTAGATATCTTGGAGCTAGTTAGCAAAGAAATTAGCTAAGCATAAGTGGCTAAGGGTCGATGTCATGGTCCTCCTAACTGGTTTGCAGAAAACTTGTGCTAACAACGGCAAAATCTGTGCTAACCTTAAGCATTTTTACAGTGTTAATGTTGGGTTACGATCGGTGGATTTCTGCTATTGATCGATCAAGCAGAAATGCAATAATGTGACTGGTTGAACCTGTAGGAAATCTCAGACTTTACTACCCTTCACAAAAACAATCCTCCAGAGACATGAATTATAAAGGAAAGGATTGACCGATGGCTGTATGATTGACCACTGGCAGCATGATCAATTAATGGCAGCGCAATCGACCGATGGCAATTGACCAATAGCGCAGCACGATCCACCGAAAGTACAGCACAATCGGGCACTTAACAGAATGGTTTCTAGTGTAGTCGCAATCTACACAAAAGTTTCCTCTGAGGTCAGTGTATTGTTTGCTGTGCTCAACTAATGCTAATTGTTACTGCAATATGGACCTAGGCTCAGTAAGCAGGAAATTATGCGCTAAGCAACTGCTGTGAAATTACACCCTTGGCCCAACAAAAAGGACCAACCTTATCGAGTGAATGCATGGCAAAGCATGGCCCCTGATGCGCACTGACAGTCCTGATGAGAGTCACGTCTTGCCAGACATAGATGCTTCCTGTCGCGCCCCCAGAGTAGGTCATCTCTGGCGAACGACTATAGGACACACACATCATGGTGTCTGGCTTGCCGACATTGCCAAATGTTCCTCGTTTGGATGTGAACCCCCCACCTGGATATGAAGGGAAAGTGTTAGGTTAGACGAAGGCTTTGGCAACTCCAGCTCAGAATCAGATACAAATCAGGATCATAACTCCACTTTTTCAAGGAATCGATTCCCATTAGGCCAAAAAAAAAAAAATAGTCGGTCTCTGGTCAGACCGAAGTTCCGGAATTAATGCGGCGACGTGGTGTTTTTTTTTTTTGGGGTGGCTTTTTTTTTTTCAAGCTTGTATTGTACAGACAAGGTTGGTACTATTTTGCTTTTTTGTGTCCTCATTATACATTGGTGTCCTCCATAATTTGCCTTGGTGCCCTTTATCATTTGCCTTGGTGCAATTTCCCCATTCCTTGGTGCTCCTTGGTACAAAACTTTGAGGAGGTGCGGCAATAGAAGGCGCTGTTGTAGCTTCCATGTTAATTTGAAACAAAAAGAAGGTTGACGCGCATGATTAAAATTGACGCGCGCGCTGACCAGAGACCGAGTATTTTTTGGGGGGGCCTTAGTATGAATTCCAGTTGCCAAAAACAATACATCTGATGCACTTCAAAACAGCTTGTATGTGATCTAGTTTAAGAGAACCTTCCTCAGTCCTGCAAAATCCTCCACTATTAAGGAGCCCAATGGTAACTTCTTGGCACTTTGTCTGGAGACATCAAGCCCCATATACATGTAGTGGGTTCCCAGCACTTTAACGAAACAAAATTCCCCGAGTTTTCTCTGATATTTCCCTGACAAATTTCCAATATTCCATGAGAATTATTTTCACTTCAACGAGGTTGCCGGGAATTCCAAAGGTGGTGTAGCAGAGCCAACTGTTGTCTGGAGAGGTGTGTAACATTCACTCTGCATAGCCAGTCAGTCAATGGACACAACTTGGCCAAATGGCACAAGATGCACCTTATGCCAAATTGGTAAAAACCTTTTCCTTCTGGATCACCTTCAAATTCCCTGTGTTTCCTGATTTTTGAATGATTTTCCCTAATTCCCTTAGTTTTCTCTGACAGCAAAAATGCAAATCTCATTTTCAAGGTTTTCCATGATTTCCAGAGCCGCCAAACAAACTGCATATTATCTCACCTGTTTGGTTCCAGAACTTGATGTGTTTCATGCCGACTGTCACCAACTTGTCCAAGTTATGAGGGTTCCATTTGATGACAAAGATCTTGTCTTTGTGTCCCCTGGTGGTGGCTAGTTTCTCTCCCTTCCGCCAGTCCCAAACTACGATGCAGTGATTGTCATCCAGACCAACGCTGGCTAGTTTCTTGCCGTCACCTGACGATGGAATTGAAAGGAAATAGGCACCACTTGCAAAAAAAACCCAAAGGATGTTGCCAATTCAAAGGATCTAAAATACAATAAATCTGAAGCAGGTTATTAAAAAACTAACCTGTCAAATTTTCAGCTCAGTAAAAAAAAAAAGGAATTTGTATCTTCATTTTTTTTCGACGCAAAGCAAGATTGTGCTGGTCTTGAACTGTTGCATTGTGAAGCGCTTTGAGACTTTGATATCAAGTGCTATTTAAGTTTCAACAATATGATTATCATTTTTGTCAACTTGTTTCATGTTCATATTATGAACCAACTATTTTGGTCACTCACCAGAGAAGTCCACAGCGCAGACACCCCTCATGTGTTGGCCTTTCAGGATGGCTTGTGACTTGGTGGTCTCAGCTTCCCAGATATGAATCGTTGGATCTCGACCAACCTGGTGAAAATGGACAACCACAAATGTCATTTGGTGTCTCCTGCAATTGGTTTAATGACTTAAGATGAGAAAATAAGAGTCCCTTTCACCCTTTTGTTTGGATTTTTCAAAAAGCTAAAACATTAAATAAAGTACTGTTAATAAGAAGTGGTAGGAACGGCAAGAGTGTTGAATGGTACCCCTCATCTTCGAGTTCTGCTGTCCAAAAGTGTATTTTCCATATAATGGGACATCTATTATTCTCAGTGACTCAGTCACTGCATAACTAAATACTTGAAAAGTTTGTTGTTTGAAAACAGTAGGCATGACTAATTCAAAAAGATTGACTGTTGAAGTCCTTTAGAACGACTCCAGAGTCTGGTGAAGTTTGCCTACCTGAAACCAAAATCTATTTGGGCTGATCTGAGTCGCTGAATATTATCATTTGGTTTGGGCAACTCTGGAATTATCATTTTCCACCTTATGTGCTTGAACCAAACGCTTCTACACATGAAAATGAAAAATTCTATCAGTAACAGAAATAATTTCCATTTTTAATGCCTAGGTTGTACAAATGTAGAGAGTAAATACAGTTCACACTACAGTGGAACGTCGCTATACTGAACACCGCTATACCGAACATTCGGCTATACCGAACATCATCCTTGGCTCCCAACTTTTGTGTACAAAACGTGCCAAACATTGTTGTTGAAAAATGTCAACTTCCCCAAGGAATAGAGGGAAAAATCACCCATGTAAGCTAAAAAAACTGTGTAATTACCTGATTCAATAATCGCACGTGTTCAAAGTCATCTTTCAGTAACTACCAAAGCATACAGGGTTAAGTTTTGCTTACGGAAATGAAAAGATGAACGGACAAGTTTGGCAAATCAGCGCACCATTTGTAAATGCCACTTCACTTTTACAATGTTCAAAAGAGGGCGCCACTAATGTGTGAAAAACCACAAGCTGGTAAGTATCGGCTTAAAATCGCTATACTGAATGATCGCTATTACGAACAATTTCTGTGGATCCTGCAATGTTCGTTATAGCGGCGTTCCACTGTACCATGTAAATCCCTAATGCAACTTACCTGGCCCGTTGCGACAATATCCTTGAGAGGGTGAATACATAGACACAGTATATCATCAGTGTGCTCGAGGTAGAATCTCTGTGTGTGAGTGTCTCGGTTGTAGACTATACCCGTAGCTGCTACATGGTAGACCACCTCACCAGCTTGCGTGTAGAACAGGTTGTTCCGACAGTCATAGCCACGGTAACTGAGACAAAAAAAGAAGAAATTGATAGGATGAACTACCTACTCGGTGCACAAATACCCCTTCAACGTTCAAGGGTAAGTAGGGGTGACATTCGAACACATAGCTGATGATGCCAGACGCTCATGTGCAGACACTATGGATTTTTGCACATTAAGGTTACTCACGTTACATTTTTGATGTACTTTTGAGTTTCCTTGGGCTGTAATTACCTTACTGAAAAGGTTTAATAACTGTTATCCCCATGGTAGATAGAGTAGACCCAGACCTACCTAAGCACCAAAGATGACATGATAAACAAGATGCACAAAATCAGTTACGTTATGAAAATGTAACGCGAGTAACCGATTTTGTGCATCTTGTTTATCATACATAACACTTTTTTCTGGATGTCAACTTTGGTGCTTAGGTAGGTCTAGGTCTACTCTATCTACCATGGGGATAACAGTTATTAAACCTTTTCAGTAAGGTAATTACAGCCCAAGGAAACTCAAAAGTACATCAAATATGTAACGTGAGTAACCGTGGAATTGCCCAGAACCAAATTAGTCGCACCTTCTTCGTGTCATACACACATAAACCAGTAAGCGCACATGGTCTGTCCTGTCCACTCTGCTCTCAAAAGTGATTCGCCCTCTCTTGTAAAAGTCTGTTGGACCTTGCTGCATTGAGCCATCAACACCAATGTGTACTCTGAGACAATGAGAGCTAGTCCCATTGAACAATGCCACAGGTGTCTCCTGCTGCATTCGGTGACCACCGACTCTGAGGCAGTTTGGCCTTGAGACTTTTGACCCGATGCATCTTGCTACAGTGAGCAGGTCTGTCATTTTGACAAGTACTGCATGGGTTTCTAGCCAAAATACCCTAGGGGTTAGGGTTTACGCCATAAAAACAGAGCCCTGGTCTGGTCCCTTGCACTCACCCATGAACAAACTCCATTCTGATTCCCTGGCTGGGCGCCTTTTGGCGTTTCTGCCCAGAATTACCCTCCTTCTTCTGCCTCTTGAGACGAGTCAGGTCTTCCTTATAGACTGGCCTGTCATAATCTATCTCTTTCTCTTTCTCAATGTCAGAGTCAAGCTCAGCGACGTCCGACAAGTCTGAGTCACTATCTTCACTGTTGGAATCAACGTAACCTGAGAGAAAAGGATGATATTGGATTATCATTTTCATTCATTTTTATTTTGCCAATTGATAAAAACAACACAAAATATATAACAGAGAAAAATACAGTACACAAAAAATACAAAAAATACCAACTTGGAAGGAACACAGATAATACAAGAAAGACAATATAACAGGACAAATTAAACCTAAGCCTGCATGGGCAAGGGCTGACAAAAGCGAAGAAAATCACTGTAGTCCTTAGAATCTGTCTTCATTAGAAAAAAATTAAGACAGGCTGGGTTTTCTGTTTAAGTCTTTGAGTACTGAAATGTGTTTTAGCCTTAACCCCTAACCTGCCAAGCATGTGGGACCACGTTACATTGCGCCACCAACACCAGTGCATAAACTGCCAATTCTGAGACAATGCCACTGCTGTATACTGGTTGGCTGCCTCAGACTCTGAGAAAGTTTAGCCTTAAGGATAGTTGTCTTGTTGGGTAATGTTACACTGGACAGGCTTCTCACTTTATCAAGTGTTGCACGTTGTTGCATTGGGCAGGGTTTCTAGACATGATATTGAGGTTGAGGGTTAATCAGATGGAGTTTTAAAAATGTGTTTGACATTCAAGCCAATCACATCGTTGTCTATAGCGGCTGCCATTTTGAAGCTGGTACCTGTGTAATGACCGGTGTCCCCACTCTCATCCTGTGCATTGACGCCCTCCGGGATGAACCTCCATTGGAATACCGCATGGTCCCCACCTCCGGTTGATATGACGTGTCGGTGGTCGTGGGAGAAACGAACGTTGGTCACATGGGCCGAGTGGCCGACGTACTTCCGGAATTTAGCCCCTGCAGAGAAATTGTAGATGAACCATTTCGTGTATAATTTTGTTGTAATCATTTATTTGGGGGGAGAGGTGAAGTATGTTTATATCAAACGAACGATCAATATAGCCCTGTCTATGGAACATGAGCAACAACACGTGCCCCATCTCCAAACTTTTATGTCGGACATTTGTGCAGGCATGTAAGATGTTAAGCATGGCTGTGATTGGTCAAAACAACAGGAGGCAGGGCTTAGTGGAACAGTCTATTGATTCTGCTAAAAAAAAAGCAAAGACAACAGTGTAAAAACACTGAAAGATAAACTGCCCCCCTGAGACATGGAAATATGTGACCTGCTCTGCAAAAATGAGTCACGTCTCCAAAACCACTTTTGAGCTAAAGGTCTTTGAAAGAATGTTGCACAGTGTTTAAGCAATTGGAATCCTCAACAGTTTGGTTTGATGAAAATGGACATTGTGTAGGATTTAAAATGTTGAGGATTCCAATTGCTTAAACACTGTGCAACATTCTTTCAAAGACCTTTAGCTCAAAAGTGGCTTTGGAGACGTGATTCATTTTTGCAGAGCGGGTCACATATATGGTTTGAAGTCTGAGGTGGAGTGATCAACTGAGCTTGTCTTTTGTTTATTTTAGCTTGTTTCATTACGAAAAAGTCATACAAATTTTTTTTTAATTTACCACGTTCGTTTTTTATAAATTGAGATTTCATACAGAAATTACAAAATATAACATGAAAAAAATTCTGAACAAAAATTCCAAATTTGATATTTCAACTGATCATTTTGAAGAAATCAGCAACCGAGACTTATGCCGTACCTTTCTTGAGTGAAGGGAATCTAAACATCTTGACTAGACCAAAGTCATCTCCAGTCACCATGACTTCACTGCCAAAGTGTGCATCTACAGCATTGACGTCGTTGGTGTCTGAATACTTGGGCCAGATACCGCTGGCCTCCGGGCCCAGGACGCTGGTCCAGGTTGCCCATCGGATGGAGCGGACTTCATCACGTTGTGTCACCTGCTTCCCAGCTGGGAGAGAATAATGAACAAAAGGAAAATTCGTTAAATGTCCCTATAAATGCTGGTTTGTTTATTTATTTTTATGAAATCGGTGTCAAAATGTCTGCATGACATCAATTTACGAACTTAATGGGGTTTAAAGGCACATAGGATCATTTGCATACCGCCCAAAAGTAACCTACTGAACTATGATCAAAACTATTACAGTGGAACGCCACTATACCAAACTCTGCCATACTGAACATTCGGCTATACCGAACATCATCCTTGGCTCCAGTTTTAATGTACAAAACGTACCGAACATCGTTGTTAAAAAAAATCAACAGATTAACAAAAAAATCTACCGGTTGTACATGTATTAAACACTATTTGGGCCACTTTTAATTCCCGAACATCAAATGACCAATAGTTACATCATGTTCGAATTTTGAATAGCGATAGATGGCTATTATTTCCCCAAGAAATAAAAGGGAAAACCATTGCTTAAAGTTGTGATGACTCTTCGTGCAACCGTGGGATGTGAGAAATGCCAGTTCATTGTTGGTCAAAAGAGGGTACCGGCGGTTCAAAATCGCTATACCGAACAATCGTTATTACGAACACTTTCTGTGGCTCCCACGATGTTCGTTATAGCGGCGTTTCACTGTACTTGGATTAAAGATTGTACGGGTGCTAAACTCCCTGTGAAATTAGTTCGTCTGGCTTGCTGTCGTTTAGAAGAAATCAAGAAATGTAAGTGATTTCCAACATTCTGTCAATTGACTGATACCTTGAAATAAAGAGTAGTATGGACAAAATTGTGTTTTGTGATCAAAAGGTTGGCCATGGTTTTTCACTTTTTTTTTCAAAAGTGTAATATCCACTGAGCTGAAACCTCAACAAGTTCGGTTGGAACGTTCTTCTTTGGAGTTTGAGTAGTGTTATTATTGGGAACGAACAAAATGGACGAAAAGCAAATGATCCTATAAGCCTTGAATAAATCGGCTATTCACACCGCGTTACCTGGCATTCTGAAGAACAATCTCTCGGCTGCTCCGCTATTGGTCTGTAGATACTTGCTGTCCTCGGACCAATCCAGATGAGTGATAAAGCTACTGCTTCCAGCACACTGACCAACCTTCTTGTAGCGTTGGGTCACAGCGTAGATGTCCACGTAGTTATCATTAGAGCCCACGGCTAGATAGTTGCCATCGGGAGAGTACTTCATCTCATGGATAACCTCCTTCCGATCTTTAATGTGGATCACTTCTGACAAATCCCTTGTGTGTATAAGAAAAAAGTATTGTGAATTAAAAAATGCGACATACTGAGTGAGATTATTTTGCTTTCTATTTGATAGCCCAAAACACCGCTTTCTATCTATTATTTTTCACATGCAGTGGCATAAATTCCACTGAGTGTCCCATCTAGAAAATGAGCAACCCCTCCCCACACCCACACAACAGTACGAATACCCTAGGAATTGGACCCCTGATTCACTACTGCACACACAATACAAACATATATACACGTAACATAAGGCTGCACTGTAACTTAATGGCAAGGACTTTGACATGATAATAGAATAATTAATTAACTGCTTCAATCTCCAGCATATTGAAACAGGAATTGAAACTGGAATTGAAACATGACAAACTGCTGAAGGGTGAATCATTGGCAGTTTAAGGTGAAAACTCAAAGGTTTTTTTTTTGCAGTAAACGTATCCAACATTTTGAAAAAGGAATTTATACACATCATATCAAGAATAAACAACATTATGACTAGCCTTGGTCAATGCTCTCGTCGTTATTCGTCCCGTACGCGGTCAATCGTCGGCATATATCCTCACGCGCTATGCACATGCATGTAAAATTACAGCGCGAACAGCGACCTCATGCGGCCACTATTTTTTTATGCAAATCAGTTGAGGATGATCTCGAGCCTTGGTTCAATCGTCGGCAAAAGCTTATGTTTTTCTTTATTTTGCGCTGGATTTCTAGCGCACGACCTCGTATGCGAATACAGAAAGTGTAGGCGGGGCTATTATGTGGAGTGTCCATTCACACCTTGGTAAATCCTGACGTCATCAAATTATTTGCAGCTATTCGCCTTTTGCGGACGTGACAGGAACCACAGTTTTTGTGCATTGGTGCCGTGTGCAGAGACACGCAACGTGTACGTGTATGGATTATGTACGGTGCCACGTTTCACAATGCAAGTTTCCATGCAACGATCGACCAATAAGAAAACGACATTTAAGGTCAGCTAAGGCTATTAACATAATGAGCACCACCCCCAAAACCTCACATGGACGATTGAACCAAGGCTCGAGATCGTCCTCAACTGATTTGCATAAAAAAGAGTGGCCGCATGAGGTCGCTGTTTGCGCTGTATTTTTACATGCATGTGCATAGCGCGTGAGGATATATGCCGACGATTGACCGCGTACGGGACGAATAACGACGAGAGCATTGACCAAGGCTACATTATGACAGAAGAAAGCTTGTGTCAGAGCTGCACAACAGTCTGCACGCACAAGGACTCAATTTATCAACGACTTGACCTTACTTTGCCTTGAGTACCGTGAAGGATCCATCTGACATGCCAGCAGCCAGTGCCGAGCCGTCGCTGTTGAAAGCCACTGAGCGGACACTGTTTTCCATCTTGGTGTGAATGACTAGCTTCTTCTCTTCAGTATTCCAAATCCTTAGAGAAAAAAAACCACATCAATGAGATGAGCAAATTGATAAATAAATTTAATTAAACATTATACTCATCCACCAAAACCATCCACAAAATTATCATCTGGGGCAAATTTTTTGGGTGCTGGTCAGTTGTGAGAATGCTAAACAAAAATGTCAATGTTGGCATGTGACTCTTAAATACTCGCTCATGAACCAGGAATGCTATGTTCCCACTCATAGACTGGTTCCTGTGCTTTCCTTTTGAAGTTTACGAAACAGCCTCTTCTTGTTAGGCAAAACAGCGCCCTTTATAGCCTGGAGCAAATACCAAGCCAGTCATTTCATTTGAAAAAAGTTGATAGCCCAGTCTCATATCAAAAATCTGAAACCTACCTAACACTAGTATCGTCACTCCCCGTTGCAATAAATGGCCTTTTGGGATGAACAGCTAGAGACCAGAGTTCCCCCTCCGCGTGGCCTTGGACCAAGATCCTGGGCTTGTCTTTCTCTCGCAGAAAGATCTCCATGACTTCGCTGTCCTGGGTGCCAACAAGAACGCGGTCCCCACGCCAGTGGACACTCCGCACAGTCAGACCTGTTTTTAAAGAAATTATTTCTGGACTATTGAGTTTGAGACATATTTTGTAATCATGAGCAACAAGGAAAAAACTGCCCCTTTGATTGGTGGGATCCGCAAGATTGTAACCTTTATTACAATAAAAGCAAAAATTGACGGACCGGAAATATATATAACGACACCATGTAGCTAGCATCTCTCAGATTCAGTATTTAACAACACCTACAAAATCACGTTCTTAAATTCTGATCATACAGCTCAGTTACAGTTCAGGTTTGAGATCTGAGATTTGGGAAGGTATCCACTTCTTGACATAACATTCAAGAAAATGAATTGATTATCACTGATTTGGAATAGGCGGGCGCGGACATCCAGGAATTGTTTACATTGCTTGTCTAGCTCCCAGACCTATGTTCTTGAAACTCAATGTTCCTTGAGTCTGGAGTGCTGAATAGTAACACATAGCAACCGATGAAAACTGGTGTGCAAATGAATGTAGATGTTTTCATTAGATGACGTCACTCCACCCCAGCCTATGGAGTACCGAAGTGAATATGTCACGCGCACAAAATGTGTGTTAAAGACATAGGCGCGTGATTCAGCCCGCGAACCAACACGCGCGCGTACTCCATTCGTTTGCACTACACTTTCTGGTTCTAAATGACGTCACACATCGGTACTCCATAGGCTTGTGATTGACTTGTGATTGAGTTGTGACTGTCTTATGACTGACTTGTGATTCAAATGTGTTGAGGTGTGATGGACTTGTGATTGACTAGTGACTGCCTTGTGACTGACTTGTGATCACCTATGTGCCAATCTTGATCCCAGACCCACCTGGATAACCTTCTTTAGTTTCTGCCAGGTTGATCTTGGTGACCGGCTTGAAGTCTGTGTCCCACAACCTGATGCAACTATCTCGACTGCCGGTAGCAAATCCCTCGTCACATGCATCAATGGTGTAGATGCCCGACTGAAAAAGTAGGACAAATGAAACAGATTCAAACAATCCTTCCTTTCTTTACATACGCTACAATTGACACCAACTGGAGAAGATAAGCCGACCTGTAAGCTCGAACATCATAGTTTTATTTCTAGTAAGCCAAAGGGCAATTAATTATGTGATTGGATAGTTAATGATAATGCACAGCTGCCCACCAAAATATTTTGTATATTTCAAAGTGAGCATAAATCTGTTGGGGACCAGTCGCTGGCAGTATGAACTACATCACACTTTGGTTGGTAACCCAATTTCTCTACGAGAAACTTCTCTGTGCTAATCAAATTTGTTCTGGAAAGCACTGACATAAATATTTTTCCGCAAAAAAAAAAAATTTAAATTGTGCGCAATGGTTCTGTGTTTTTAAGCAAGCCATAATACGTGCTATACTGTCAAATATTTTTAAGAAAAAAAAACGAAACATAAATATATAAAAGTTTTTTCCCTACAGTCCCTTGTATATTTGCTCAGATTATTCCTGAATATCCAAAATCTATGTTTTTGCACAAACTACACTGCACATTCTTTGTGTGTAAATTACAAGGGGCATCCAGTCAATGTTACGTAATAGTAGTGTGAATGTTCTACAATCTTGCAAACTCTTCCAAAATCTCTCATTCGATTTGAAGGGTCTAAGATGGTTAGGGTTAATTATTTTCAATTTTCTTTTACCCCATGGGCATTTTGAATGACCCTCTGCAGATTGTTCCCAGCCCACACGTAGACGTCACCGCTGAGAGTCCCCGAGTACGTGATGTCATTAGGGCCAAACGTCAGGCACAGCATCGTCTGTATCTCCCCAGCCTTGCCAAAGACTCCCTTCTTAGCACTCAGTGAGTTGCCACTAAGAGACCAGAACTTGATGTGTTTGACCCCACAGCTGACGATGGTGTGTTCCTTGTGAGGATTAAACTGACAGTCAAAGATCTGTGGGCAAAACAAGACAAACAGGAGGCAATCTTAAAAAATTTGACGGAAACCTACTAATGACGTCCACTGCATAAACACAGTAAATGTCAAGTCAAACAAGGCTCAACCAAATGCACTGCAAGCTGAAGAAACCCCTCACGAAGAACAAAACACTTTCCCAACAGTTCATGGAAATATACTTTTTTTAAGTCTTCTTGTGCCATGTCTGGGACAACATGCTTCCAAGCAATAGTTTTGACTTTTGTTGTCGCTGACCCGCATAGCATTATCTCTTGTTCTGCTTGTGTTTTTTTTCCAATCCCATGGTGCATAAACGTACTTGCATGCTCTCCTCACACATTCCAATTTTGTCTAGATGCCTCCCGGCCGCGCCTTTCTTAATGTATTCTGTTCTGCTTACTTCTGTTGATTAATTCTGTGGGGTTTTTTTGTCACAGTGTTCATACTTTCATATTTATTCGTATTTAGTCATTCTTCATGTTCTTAAGTTACATGTCTTGTATTCTTGGTATTCATTATTACTCATTGTTCTTTCCATTTTAATGAGGTCATTAAAAATGATAATGATAATAATAATAATCACTCTTTAGAGGAGTCATTTGTTTCATACAATTTAAAAAAAATATTGAGCTGCTAGTTAAACAGCGATAAAGTCTGCCACCTACCCTGTCAGAGTGACCTTTGACCGTGGCTAGTACCCTGCCTTTCTTCCAGTCCCAGACATTGATGATGTTGCTGGTATCCATACCAACTGAAACAAGTTGCTGAAAATACAAATACATGTATGAATTGATGGTTAGAAGTACACTCGCCAGTGATTTCTGTTTGTTTGCGCATTTCAGTTGATGTTAAACCAACAATCATCATGTTGAGAACATTTCAATACGGCAGCACAGTTTCGCTTGTTAGGGAACCTTTAGACTATATCAACTGAACATTGCTTCCCAAATTCTCTACCAAAACATACACAAATTGGTATTACTGGAGCGATTATAGAATGAATAAAAAAAAGGCTAATGGATTTTTGTTTGTTTGTAATTTATTAATTTGAGAAAATAACTGTGAGTAGCTAAATCAAAAATCCCTTTATTCTCTGCACTAACTTTATCATATTTTGTTTCAGTACTATTTGAATTTCTACATTTTACATAACAATTGCTGTACTCTTTTTTAATATAGATATTGCATGTAGGTGTTTCCAAATCACAACATAGTGCACCTCACCACTTCAATTTCAGTCTGCCCAAGAGTAAGGAGCCACATACTAACTGATAACCCCATCTCAGAAAACATCCAAATAACCACATACAATTGTAAAGGATTTACATGTAAAGACATTATAGAAAATTAGGGTAAATACGAAAACCGTGCTAATGTGAGAAGCCCAAATTTGAATATTTGCAGTTTCCTCTAGAAGTTAAAGTTGTGCATCTTTTGACTCTAGTTAAAAAAAAATAGATAACCAAAAGATGTCAATACATCATTCTAATGAAAGATGACACTTGTTTTTCAAAGAGGGCATTGGACATATGGACATCAAAGAGACAATTTCACCTCCCCCCCCCTAAAAAAGGAAAAACAAAACCTGAACAAAACAACCTACTGTACAGCCTAAGAACCAATGGGAACTACTTACCGTGCCATCCTTGCTGAAGGCAAGCACAGCAATGCCATGAGTATGGGCATCCTTGAGTATGGAGACTGTCTCGACATTGTAGGAATCCCAGACACAGATGTAGGGTTCTTTGCCTACTTGGCCAGTGGCTACCAATGTCTTCTCAGGATGAAGAGCAAGGCTGAGAAATGAAGAACAACCGATGATTATAAATGGATTATGAGATATGTGCGTGGATTATAGTGGGTGTTATATAACCGACATACAGATCCTTGTCATTTGATTGGTGGAACTCACATCACGTGACATCGTTATTGCTCCCATTCACACCGCGGCTCAAAAAGTACTATCTGCCCATGGGGAATGGGAAATACTATTCAACAGTTAGGATCATGACGCGGTATTTGTGTGCATGCATGCTGGTGTGCGCGTTCAGCGTTGCGCGTTCAAAAGTTCAAATATATCAAATGACAAGGACCTGTATGTCAGTTATATAAAACAAATATTGAGTGGCTTTAAATTGTGAAATGGGAGGAATATTATCGCTCGGTAAAATCTGGACTTTTCCAGTTCACTCGGCTTCGCCTCGTGAAATGGAAAAGTCCAGATTTTACCTTGCGATAATATTCCTCCCATTCCACGCTGATCCACTCAATATTTGTTTACTACACGTATTTGTCACCTATTCATGAGACCTACATGTAGGTAGTGGTGTGCATTTACGGGTAGTACAGGTACCAGGTACCCTACTGAAGTAAAACGGTAAAAGAAACCGGTAATAGAAACCCAACCCCAAAATTCAAATCCTGGAAGTTTTGGGTTTCGCAGATGGTTTGGGCCCATTTCATGATGCAACATGTACCAAGCACAACAACAGGTTACCAGCTACAATGTCATAAGAGTGTATAGTGGTTGTGACTGGTTCTCAATCGCTTTCTAGTATAAATTTGTAAAGAAAAAATGCAGCTCTGCTACTTTTTTTAACATCGATACTTTTTTTTACTGCAAATGCACAGAACAAAATAATACATTTCAACAACTCTGATGTCCTACTTTTCAATTCCGGGCAAATTTGGACATCCAATGCTCAAACGCTGAAAAGCCCTGGCATGAGTACGTACATGGCGTGTCACAATCCATCAGCTCAAAACGTGCACTCTCACTTATGTCTGACAAAGAATCCATGCAGAACAAATAATGGAAGCACCGTATTCAGTCAGTAATTATTGGGCTTTTTGACACTATAGGGCTAATTATGCATAAAGCCAATTATAATCAATCTTCCAAGTTACTAGGCAACATTCATTGTATGCGGTTGCTGTACTTTGTCTGTGCACTGCATTGTACAGGTATCATCACAGTATTGTAAAAAGCACTCCTATAAATTTTTTTTATTAGGTTTTACTTTTTAATTTCATTTTGTAGTGACCTTATACAGTGTACATAGTTTTAAATGTAAAAATGCATATACATTGTACTTTTATTGTAATCAGATTTTTATGGGTTTTTAGTTAATTGTTCTTATTAAATTATTGTAAAGCACCTTGTACATCATTTTGACGCTATATAAGTTTATTATTATTAGTAGTAGTATAAATGTATACAATACGTACACACAATCTATGAAATTTAATGAATTTCATAAAGAAAGGAATTACAAGGTCAGGGAATCAACATTAAACATAATTTATTATGCCTGTTTGCTAAGAACCATCTTGATGTACACAGACATGAACTGGTACACGTACAAAAAATGTACTTAAAAATTCTCCACAGTGAGGAAAAACAGACGGCGGATTCTGGGCATTATTTTTTTAACTACAATTCATAAATACCTCAGACAGTTTAGCCATTCCTATTGGTCGAGAGCCCGTCACGTGGCCGGTATTAAACGGATGATAAAGACATGGCTAGCTGGTCTTAAACACTTTTCCAGTGTCACAATAAAATGTGGACTCCTAAAAATCCAGTGCCTCTTATCGTTTCATTGGTTGAACGTTCACAATCCTCACGTAGGCATGCGCAACACTACCAGGGAGTTAGAATTTTATAGTTCTAAATTCAAAACGCAACGCGCCAGGTGCGTTCTGCGCGACATCGCGTAGAACATGATACGCGCGCGTCAATCTCCATAAAAGGGTTGTTTTCATCTTACTCGCCAGCTGAACACTCCATTATTTTGCAGGAGGGATGTTTCAAAAAGCATAAAGTGAATTTGTTGAACAAAATCGGGATGTTTTGAACGAATTATATGATTTTTTTTTACCGAAAAGGTATTTATGAATGGGAATAAATATGTACTCCGTCGGTATTTATCACTCTGTTTAATACCACTTAGAGTCTGGGTGCTGATAATTACCCTCGCCTCCGGCTCGGGTAATTATCAGCACCCAGACTCTAAGTGGTATTAAACAGAGTGATAAAAACCTCCGGAGCACACATTTATTCCCTTATTTATAAAGCTGGATCAAGGCCCATTAACATGGAGTGGCTGGGCTTGATGCTCCGCAATCCTGTAACATCCTCAAAATGTCCTAATGGATTTTGATCAAGGGTTAGGGTTAAAAATCCAAACATCTCTCTCATGTTTAGTAATAGTTGTACTCAAATTACCTTATGTTTATTACTAACTTATTCCATGGCGCTATTAAAGCCACATGTAGGAACATTTGCAATTTTACCCAAAAGAAATTCCTAAAGATTTCAGAACAGAATCGTTGCTCAAAGTGAAGATAGGACTGGTATCAAATACCTTGTGAAATCATTCCACCTAAAATGGTATCATTTTTGGAAGGAATCTAAGATTAAAGTTGGTTTCAAAATGGGTACCCGTTGGCGTTGGCACACTGTGTTACATGCGTTAGCAACAGAATTCCATTCCGACACCAACAAAGTGTGCATAATTTGTTTGTTTTTCAAAACGTACAGCATCTACTGAGATGAATCTTCAACAGGTCAGTTGTTATGCATCCTACCGTACTTAAGATTTTCAGCACTTCAAATGAAACAGCTTGCACAAAAAAGCTTATGATCCTATACACCTTAACATGTCTTACTTTGTCATGTTTGTACACTGTGCATTGTGCATACGGTACCAGTAACACAGCATATTTTTCCAGATAAATGACAAACTTGAAAAATCTTCAACTCCAAGGGAAAACCTCTGACCTTTTTTCAAATGTCAAAAGAAACCTTGAGTACTGGTACTTTACACAACATAGTACAATTGTATGTCCACAGGCATACAAAAATATACTAATGTATTGCAAATGTACATACTGCACGTACATGTCTAAAATGTATAGTACCAAGAAAGCAAACTCATGAATGTTATTGTACACGTACATGTACATTGTATACATACATGTACATGGATGTAACACATACAATATCAAATATTGTGGTACAAATGTTATACAAATATTGAGTGGCTCAGCGTGGAATGGGAGGAATATTATCGCAAGGTAAAATCTGGACTTTTCCATTTCACGAGGCGAAGCCGAGTGAACTGGAAAAGTCCAGATTTTACCGAGCAATAATATTCCTCCCATTTCACAATTTAAAACCACTCAATATTTGTTTTATATAACTGACATATAGATCCTTGTCATTTGATACATTTGAACTCTTTTTCAATACGAAACTGGAGGAAAATCTATTTCTCTAGTCCAAACCACCCCTTCACGAAAATGTTTGAACCCAACGCTGTAGCGCTGGCTCTTTGGAACAATACGCGCTACGCGCAACGCTGAACGCGCACACCAGCATGCATTTGCACACAAATACCGCGTCATGATCCTAACTGTTGAATAGTATTTCCCATTCCCCATGGGCGGATAGTACTTTTTGAGCCGCGGCGTGAATGGGAGCAATAACGATTGTCATGTGATGTGAGTTCCACCAATCAAATGACTAGGATCTGTATGTCAGTTATATAATCCCAATTAATTCCTTGAAACCAAGTATTTGTGTTCAGTGTGTACGTGTACAACTACAATGTACTGATAAATGCAAGGATGATTAAAATTATGTACAAATGTACATGTACCTAAAAAGTACATGTGCATGAACTTGAGGCACATTTTTTCATTGACGTACATCTGTGTACATCTGTGGGCATAAATTTACACATGTTGACAGTGATGTTCCAGTTACATGTATTATTACGGGAAGAATTACATGTACATGTATTATTACGGGAAGAATAATCCCAATACATGTACACATGTATAGTCATGCCTCATGGGACAAACTACATGTAACAAACTGATCAAAAGATGGTACATTTATGTTGCACGTTGCAAAGATTTTGAAGCTGGCATCTCACATCACAGAATCATTCATCTTAATGTACAATGTACGTATCTATACCAAAGAAGTAAAGAAATTACATTTGATTTTTGGACTACATACATGTACTTGTAGAGATTGTGTACTACATGTAGGTTCTTAACTCTCTTCAGTTTGTTGGTTCATAGCATTCTACAAATGAATTTTGCCAAAATTGCAAAACTGTGCAGTACGGTAGCAGTCACCAAACAATTTGTTCTTCCTGCTGAAAATATAACAAGGTATGAAAGCCCAAGAGTTTGCTGATCATGAAATTACTAAATCCAGCAAATTACTGCAAAACCTGCATGTGAAATGTATACATGTACATCCATGATGTACACGTTCAAGTGATTCACTTCATATTATAAGGAATATTTGTTTAATAAATGTTTTTTCAAAAAGGCAGTATAAGATTAACAGAGACTCAATGCCTGAACGTTTTAACTGTTATAGACTGTCCTGTATGTTTATTTTACGTGTACAAGCAATCATCCTATTTTTCCTGGTGCAGTACTTACATTTATTTTAGTACAAAGAATACCAGCAAATAAACACCAACAATTGTAATTGATATTACAGCTAATAAACAGTCAATGTACGGTAGGTGTATTAATTGTAAAAAATTGTAGTCAGTGAACAAATGTGCAAAAAATGTAAATGACTTTGCTTTTAATTTGAGCATGTGTTTCCGTGCAGGGTGAAAATGCCATGTGAATGGCAAAATGCTGACAATATCTTGCCCATCTGTGACTGCATGAAGCACGTGGCGTATGGCTTCACTGATGAGCACAAGAACAGGAAATGGGACAGGAATATCAAAGGTCGCTGGCACAATCCGTCAGAGAGTTA